ACTAAATACTTATTTTCCCCACTGAATGTACAGAGGTTGTGTTGAGGTTCCTCTGGGAATCAGTCGGTTCTTTGGACTGTGTTTGTGTTGAGGTTCCTCTGGGAATCAGTTGGTTCTATGGACAGAGGTTGTGTTGAGGTTCCTCTGGGAATCAGTCGGTTCTTTGGACTGTGTTTGTGTTGAGGTTCCTCTGGGAATCAGTTGGTTCTATGGACATAGGTTGTGTTGAGGTTCCTCTGGGTATCAGTCAGTTCTTCGGACATTGTTTGTGCTGAGGTTCCTTTGGGCATCTTTGTACAGAGGTTGTGTTGAGGTTCCTCTGGGTATCAGTCAGTTCTTTGGACAGTGTTTGTGTTGAGGTTCCTCTGGGAATCAGTCGGTTCTTTGGACTGTGTTTGTGTTGAGGTTCCTCTGGGTACCAGTTAGTTATTTGGACAGCAGTCATGTTGAGGTTCCTCTGGGCATCAGTTGGATGTATGGACAGAGGTGGTGTTGTGGTTCTTGTCAGTCAGGGGGAAATGAAGCAGAGATCAGACATTAAATCCAGTCAAATGTATTCACTATGTCTGGTTGACAGAACTGTTTATCTCAGGGTCCAGTGGCCATGGTACTGTTCATTAGTCGGTGATCCACTCTGAGGGATTATTGCTCTGTTTCAATTTAAGTGAGACAAACATGAGCTTTGCCCTCACCTAAGGACACAGGTGAGGGAAAAGGATCAGGTCTGCTGTGGAAACCAGAACTTTCTGATGTTCTCTGCAGAAGTGATTAGGTTTAGGACAGCACAGGGGGTCTGAAACACCAAGCAGGATGTCCTAAAATAATGTTCAAAATGAAGCTCAGAGTTTTGTAAACTTGTCTGTTGTAAACCATGATTTCACTGGATGTTTGTGAGCTTCATTCAAATATCAGGAGGTAAATTAAATCCAACATTAATTATTCAGATCCAGAAGACTCACCTACATGTTGGTGAGTGATCGTAAACAGCTCTGAAGAAAACTGAACTTTGACAGAGCTGATCCTGTTTGAAGGACCAAGTTTAATTAGAACCTAAATGCTGAGTTGTGATTTTAAGGCCCTGTTTTCTGTCTGCAGGATGGTTACATCGACTTCGTAGAGTACATCGCAGCCATCAGCCTGCTGCTGAAAGGAGAAATCAATCAGAAGCTGAAGTGGTACTTCAAACTGTTCGACCAGGATGGGAATGGGAAGATAGACAAAGACGAGCTGGAGACCATCTTCACTGTGAGTCTGCAGAAACAAGAATTGTTACATAAAATAACAGAAGACAACAAAGGGTGGTTTTAATCTTTCATCTAAAAAAAACTTTTATCTCTTCCTGTTTTAGTTTTATAACACATTTTTAATGTTGTTTATGTTGGGGTCTCTGGTTCCGTTTCGGTTCGGTTCGGAGGCTGTCAGCTGCTAGACTCTTCTCTCTCCCTCGTCTGCTCACTTCTGCTCAAGTCTGGTGCTGGGTCGCTGTCGGTGGCTCGGACTCTGTCTGCTCACCGTCTGCTTTGAGGCTGCTGCTCCTGCTGGTTTCGCTGGAAAATCAGTGAGCTCCCTCCTGAAGACTTGTCCCAAGTCAATAAAACTCTAGTCTAACATTTGAATGACGAAGAGGCGGTTTCCTCAGCTTTGGACATGTTTATTTACGAGAGACAACAAAGAGGATCCACACAGCTCGAATGTTACTGAAGCTCTCCCCAAGAGAAGCGTGCGCGTGCCTGCTGCTCGCTCTCGTCTTAAAGAGACAGTACACAAAATATACCACATTTACTTCCTGTTTGGACATCCAGACTTCTATAGCAACTCTGCACTGTTTCTCTTAACAGGATCTGATGGTTTGATGATTAAATAAATAATTTAACTGAGAGTTTAGTTATTTTAAGAAAACTTCAGCTCATTGTGTATAAAGTTTGTTTGCTTTTGCTCAGGTGGATCATCAGTGGTGGCCATCTTGAATCTCTTGAAGTTTAGTTCTGTGTTTTTATTCAATGTTTTCCTTGGAGTTGATCATATATTTTACTAAAAGGACAACCACCCAACCAACCAACCAACCAACCAACCAACCAACCAACCACCCAACCACCCAACCAACCAACCAACCAACCAACCAACCA